TCGCGGCAGAGCGCCCCGCCCACGAAGGCCACCACGCCTCCTTCCGGTGGCGCTCTCTCAGGGAGCCCCAGCGGCGAGTCCGGGCGGGGCTTGGCCTGACGGGCCCGGAGCCGACCCGCCCCTTTGGCAGTTGCGGCAGGAAAGAGCCAGATTTGTTTGTTTGTTTGCTTGCTCTTAGCTTTTCCTTCTCTCAGCTCCCCGCTCAGCCAGCGACGGAGGTAAAGTGCCAAGGCCAAGTCTCGTAACTCGCCCCCGCGTGCGAGCGAGTGGCTGGGCTGCTGAGACCTCTCCTTCGAGGCGCTGCTCCAGTGTGGGATGCCTGCGGGGTTGGTTGGGCGAGGATGAAAGGAGCAGGGGGTTGCACCGAGTGTGAAAGCCTCCCCCGGTGCTGCTTGCACTCCTTGAGAAATGTCCGTCCTGGCTCTTGCGAGTGATGGGAATGTGCTGAGAAAGGAAGGACAATACCACATGGAAGCTGCCGACCGAAGCAAGAAATGGCCCTGGAACTGTAGAGCTAGCTAGCTGCTTGGGATTGGAGGGTTAGGGGAAGCGACAGAAGCAGAGAGTTGCCAAGGTTCTGAAATGAAATGAGCCTCGGCATCCCCCCCCAACACTTTATCACATTTTTATCTCTAATGAGAAAAAAGATTAAGATTCTATCCAGAATGAGACAAAGTGTGACTTACAAACAGCGAACATCAACGCTAGTGTTATTTCTAAACTATCTACACATAATATAGAAGATTTTCAGTATTTTATTGTGCATGGTCTGAACTCCGAAAACAAGGAATATTTCCTGTTTTAGTCTTACCATTGCTAGCAAGAACACTTTTTTAACATAAATAATAAGGAAGAAAATTTCCACTTGAAATAGATATTTACAGTTAATAAAATTTCAGTTCCAGTGTGCATTAGTAAGCAAGGGAAATAATTTTTGGAAATTTTAGGGTGTCAAATGTTCTTGAGGTAGAAAGGTAGTCTTCCATGCATGCGCTTACACCTAACCCATATACTTTTAAAAATAGCTCCTTGGCCTTCTTGTTCTTTCCTGTCCTCTTTCTAGCCTAGTCCATATGTTTGATAGTTCACAACAACTCCTGATGGTTTTATCAATATCGCCAAGATCAAATCCCAAATCCGGGCTGGCTTCCCAGAGCCATCACAGTGTGATCTCTCGCACTTCCGGTGAAATGTAAAGGGGTTAGGATGCTTCCAGCGTCTCAGTGTTGGCCTTTCTCGAGTAAAGAATCTTCTCGTTCTTAATATGTCTAGACATTCAGGAGTTCTGTCCTGAGGGTGAAGCTCACTCCCTAGCGTCCTTCCAAAGCAGCTGTGTGAGGTGAGACAGACGACAAGGAGGTGTCTGTCGTCTGTCATGGGCTTGGTCAGATGCTGCCGAGTTCACGGCCTCATAGTTTAGTCCAGGACCGTGCTGGATCCTGTCCCATCCATCTGCTGTCCCCGGCTTCCATCCTGTCTTGGTCATGTGCTGTGGCTGGCTCGTTTTCCTTGTCCTTTAATTCATTTCTACTCTGCCTAATACCTGAATGGACAGATCAGCTGATCCAGAATTCCTTCACTCTGTGGTTCACCAGTCATGATCAAAACCCGCTAACAGTCCCTTGGTATGTGACAGAATGGGGCACTGATTGTGCAGCAAATAATATGACTGGATCCAGACAATAGGTTTAGTTTACCAGCCACATTGTACAAATGAGAGCTTAGCAAATATGTTTTAATATCTTTCTAGTCATTCTAACACAACACCTATTCTGCGTGGAGCACTGACTGCTTGAGCCTAGTTGTCTACTTGTTATTGTTCTTCAAAGGAGACAAATTAGGAATATGTTTTCTTTGTGGTTTTTTTGCAGTGAGTATTTTTTTTAATTAGTTTTGTTTAAATTTTTAGAGAGTGAAGAATTCTGGGGAAAAGCAGTAATGGAGTATAACTTACAGTTACAAGTCATTCAACCACAATCAAAGAAAAAAGGGAGTAACCTCAGGAAATATGAGAAGAGAGTATAGCAATTATTGAATCTGCAGTAGCACAAATATTTTATTTTACATTGCAAAACTTAATGGAGAATGAAAAAAGTATATTTTCTTGAGAAGAAAATTCTCAGAGAGCATGTTATTACCTTAAAAACAAAGGCATTTGTGTGGTCAACTCAGAGGTTATTTTTAATGCCCAGCCAGGGTATTTGATTTGTTCAATAATGAATACTAAACCTGAGGAGAGTCTAGGCATTTGGATGTTTTCCAGGCAAGTACCCTAGGCTAGACCAGTTGCAAAATCTGCATTGTTAAATATTGTTAAATAACAATAATTAAAATATTGTCTAAGTCACTGATGTTTATGGAAAGGAGAAACAGTTATATAAATATGGACAATGTCAGCTGACAATATAGAGTAGAAAGGGGGAGACCTTTGGTATTAGACCAGAGCTGAGTGTTTTCCTTCTGTCTGGGATCACTATCTTCATATGCGAACTCACAGTCATAACTGTTGTTCACATTACGACAAGTTGTGAGGGTTACAGAAAATCAAGTAGATGTTCATTAGTGCTGTTATATTATTGTGTGTCAGGAGACAAAATTAAGTCAATTTCACATAGAGGAAATTTCTCTAATACTAGTGAATAACTCCTGGTTCTATTTTTATAAAGATTTTTTTTAAATTATAGTAACTTCAGAATAGAACAAAAAACAAACTGTGGTTAAATAACTAAATTTAGGTGGAAATGCTTCAATAGTGAGTGATATATGATATCATGTAAATTTTCTTAACACAGGTCTCAAATTAGAATTAGATTCTAATTTGATTTAATAAAGTAGATTTATTTTGGTGTGAGTTACATTGAAGCCTTTAGATTCTAGCTAAGATACTGTTTCATTTATATCTATGAAATCAAAATCTGATCTGAGGATGGCAGAATTGTAGTTATATCGAATATTTTCCCTCTCTTTTGGTGATAACACCACATTCTGTGTTACTGTGGTCTCCACTTTCTTCTATGCCAGCCCAATTCCAGTATTAAATGCTTGGGAAATGCCTAAAGCATATTTTATGTGAGGGTGGCATGGTGCCTACTGAACAAAGGAGGCTCCTTCATGGGTTATTCTAAACAAATATGACAGTTTGGTTTAGCTCAATAATTCTAAAATTCATTTCAGAAGAAAACCTTGTGGGTCCTCAGCATCTGTTAGCATTTCCAGTGACAGCAGGGGAAAGTTTGCAAATAGGGTAGAATTGAGGGAAGAAGTCACTCAGTAAGAATGAACTCTTCAGAAATACCCAATGGCTTATTTATAAAACAGGTATAATAAATGAACTCTGCTGAAACCTACTTAGCCTGACTTTGGTCAGTTCTTTGATCTATTTCAATAAGCTATTATTAATCATTCAAATATATTTTGTTTTAGTATTCTAGTTATTGTACATATTTTAGAATAATAAAATCTTCTCATATATATAACTCAAACCTGTGATTAGACTTTCCAGACCAGTAACAAATCAGTCATTACTGGATTACTTTGTTTTTCTTATTGGAAACACCAGTATAGCACAACCATCTGCTACTTTTGCTTTCCGTTTTTTATCAGGTTGTGCATCAGAGGGAACGGTGTAAATAACTTGAAAACTGCCTTACAGAGTATTAATTCAACAGGCAAGTAGGATATTTTCTGATGTTATACACATTGGAGGACTGCCAGTTTTATTACTTGTTCTTGGGTCACAATTGCGTGTTTGTACAATTCTAGATTTACCCTTTCCACAGTGAATTTGTAGCCAGTTTCCCCCCACCCGGGGCCACCCCCCACGGGCGGGGGTGGGGCCGGGGTCTAAGGAACAGGGTACATGCCATATATTCTTCATCCACAGTGGAGAAGCAAGATTATGTAACAGAATAAATAAACTCCATTTGGTTTGGTTTGTGAATTCAAGAAATCAGTCAAAGGAGGCGTTGGAGCCTCCTCACTAGACATATGGGGAAGTTATATGGGAAAGCCAAAATATTTCTAATTCATCTGTGAAGCCTAGATTCTCAAGTTTGGATTCATCTCTGTTCTTTTCCTTTCTTAGTCCTGCCCTAAAATGTTGCTTTTAAAGATCTCAGACATCTTGAATCATGCAAGATTTTACAGAAGTGCAAGGAACTATATCAAATGCTCGCCCTATGCCAGTACTTGCTGATGGTAAGACTTTTTTCATTATAGAACACAATAGGATAATGTCTTAAGTTCCTAAGAATTAACATCGTCCTGTAATGTGGTCAATTTTTGATACACACTTTCTTCTTAACTTGATTATTTCCAAACATTTGTATTTTTATATATTATTATTTTTCACTTAAACCAACTAGAACTTTAAAATTTTGCTATGTGTAGATTTAGAATTATGTATTCTAATTTACATTCTAATTCTAATTTAGAATATGGATTTATACTATATAAGACTTTCTTTGTGCCTTTTATAAAGGTGAAAGAAAAAATGTTAGTGCCTGTATATGTGGTCTATCCTGGATATGTGGTCTATCCGGATGTGTGGTCTATCCCGGATATGTGGTCTATCCCGGATATGTGGTCTATCCCGGATATGTGATCTATCCCAGATATGTGGTATATCCCGGCACTTTTGATATATCTGAAAAGCTTTGTGAGGACAGTGTTCATAGCAGTTGTTTCACATGTGAGAATGCATGAACATGCGCACGAGCACACGAACACACACGCACACGTGCGTGCACACACACACTTTTTTAAAAACACAGTCATTTCTTTGACATTCACCTGATCCTTAGTAAATACGAACTACACTAGCTTCCCCCACGACATTTCCCATCTCTAATCTCATTTCTGCAGCTACTTCATGCCCACTGAAGAACAAACAAAATCTGCATTCAGAACAGGACCCTTCACAAGTTCAATAGAGTTATTTTGGGGGAGTCATTGAAAACACAGCACAAAAACCTTTCCTCACTCACCAGAAATGCATTTTAAAAATGAAGCCAAAGTGAACAAGGCTTGGCCAGTTTAAGAGTAAAATAAGGAGAAAGCGGTGCCTTTTCCAGCCACAGACAGGATTGGCTGCTTCTTAACTTTCAACTTCTCCATTTCCTTTAATCAGCTCTAAATAAAAAGTGCAAAGTCTATCAGGTAAGACATCAAAATAATGACACTTGGTTTCAACTAGCGCTGTCACAGTGGGTCCCCTGCAGAGCCAGCGCGTCTCTAGCTCAGAACAGTTTTGAGACGCCTTTGCCTCTTTCTTACTTCAGACCTGAAAGGCACACACATTAACTAACTGCTTTCTCGAGCTTTCAGACAAAGAATTAGAAAGCTATATATAGAGTCCATGTTCATTTCTATTTCCAATAGCTTTTAGGTCAGCCAGGTCCCATGAAAGTTAATCCAGAAATGAACTATTAGAGGAAGTAGAACTGTGGAGACAGAAAATAAGCTAGTTCCTAAGAAATTTTTGTGTTGAATTTGATAATAAACAAGTCTGTATAATAGTTTCATGCATTTGAGGTATTTAACATTTAATATAGATGTATTCAAGATTTATAAGCAAGTACAGTCTACTTCCTATTAAACATGTTACTCACCCAATACTGTGAAGAAAACTTCCTATTTTCCACAAGGCACAATATATCACACAGGTGTTCACATCCCATGAGCAAAAAGAAATCCAGAATCTACAAGGAGATATGGTAGGATTTGGGTTTTATTATTTTTTTAATTATGTGTATATGTGCATGCCTGTGTGTGGGTGTGTGCATATGCAAGCAGGTGCCCAAGAAAGCAACCATGGTTGGATCCCAGGGCTGAAGGGTGTCTGTTTCCCTTCTGACATGGGTTTTGGGAACTAAACTCTCATCCTTTGCAAGAGCAGCAAGCTCCCTTAACCACCCACTGATCCATCTCTCCAGCCCCAATGGAGACAGTCTTTAAAAAGAATGCTAACTCAGAACTCTTGCTACAGACTTCTATAATTCCCAAGATCTTCCTTAACGCAGGTTGACCCAGCATGATTACTGTGAGCTAATGACTATACTGTAAAGGATCCTACAGTGAGAAGTGTCCTATTCCCAGACTCCTCTCCCAGAGTTATAGGAAAAGCCAAGGAACACTGAGTTCCTTGTACAGGTGTCATCCCTGGGCGGTGCTTCTACAAGTCAAGGTGACAACTGTCGGTAAATAAATAGATGTCTGTTTGAAATTTAATCTGCCCATGGAAATACTAGGATCAAAATAAATAGGTATCCCTACTCTAGTGAAAAACAAACTGTAGTATTCCATTCCCACATTTAGAGAACCTCTTTCCTTTCACTTCTCTTTGGAGTAATAATTTTTAAATAATAAAATATTATTTTTCCTTTAAAATTTGTCTCTCCTACCTAGGAATGATTTTATGTTGTTTATTTTTATTTAACATAATCTACATTATAATGAAAGTTAAGGGGACTTAACTTTATTATCTTATTATCATTAAGAACTCTAAACCCCTATAGTCTATGTCAAAAGAATAAAAATGTAAAGCGAATTTCATTGAAATCTTATCTCATTGGGCATAAAATTGTTTTAAAGCTGCAAGGTAGCAAGTTTGGCCTAGATTACATTAGTGCAGATCACACAGCTCACGGCATGTAGCATGCTCATTGGTAGATTGTTATTACGTAAAAGAGTCACAAGGTAAAAGTTCTGTACAGATTGTTTGCTTAACTTTCAATATTCTTCTGAGTCTGTGATTTTCCTGTAGGTTTTTAACAAATCCTCTCAGGTTGATACTTTAAACCCTTCAAACACACCTTCTTTCAGATATGTTGATATCTCTTCGTAGACGTTTTAACAGGGCAATTATTTCAGTGAACTTCAGGAAATGGCAATGTTATAAAATGAGTAGTTTTAACTAGGTATTTCCTTTGTGACCAGTCACAATGTTTAGATCTATACTGACACTGTCTCTCTTAATAAAACAAACAAACAAAACTCACCAAATTCTTTAAATACTTATATCGTTCCAGTTTTATGGGTAGAAAAGCTGGATTTTGAGACAGTAACATTCCAGACCACACACTAGTACACTTCTTGAGTGGCTGAGTGGAACCAAGGCTCTCCCTACCACGCTCACACTTTAGCTTACCCTGCACAGCTGCCTCGTGGAACCTGAGCCTGGCTATTGGAGCCAGCAGCTGTGTGAACATCGCAGGCCTCCTCACTTACAGCTGGGCAGAGGAGCAGGGGCACGGAAAGCTCATGGACTCCTGGGGAGAGATTTACGTACTCCAACCCGTGGGTGTTTTTCAGGGCAACAAGACTGAGATAGAAATATTAGGGAGCCTGCCTCAGGCCAGCAGGTAGTCAGTGACAAGAGTCCATATCAGCCTTCCAGGTTGCTTATTTCCCTCTGGGATTCTACCAGGAAGTTTTAGGCAATAACTGTACATACCTTAACACTTTAACTTGAGCATCCTGAGAAATCATACATTATCACTTCTGGGATTTTTTTTTGAAAATATAAACATTGCTTATAAAATGAATACATTTAGGGTCTCAGCAACCTCATATACTACTCTAGCAGAGGACCCAGTTCAGTTCCCAGGATCCACATACTGAAGTTCCCACAGCTTGTAACTTTAGCCCCTGGGGGGCCTGATGTGGGATTCCCCTCTGTATGCTGTGAACACCATTGGTTAATAAAGAAGCTGTTGTAGGCCTGTGATAGGGTGGGGAAAACTAAACTGAATGCTGGAAGAAAGAAGGCAGAGTCAGGGAGAAGTCATGTAGTCCCACCAGAGACAGACACTGGACAGGAACTTTATCCAGTAAGCCACAGCCACATGGCGATACACAGATTAATGGAGATGGGTTAAATTAATATGTAAGAGTTAGCCAATAAGAAGCTAGGGCTAATAAGACAAGCAGCGATTTAATTAAAACAGTTTCTCTGTGGTTATTTTGGGTTTGAGCTGCTGAGTGGCCTTCCTACAACAGGATCCAAGGCCTCTGGCCTCTGCAAGCACCAGTACATTCGTGAAGCTCATATCCCCAGACAGAAACACAGGCATACCCATGGTAGTAAATAAATAATACAGACTTGGGATATAGATCAGCATTAACTGATCTGAAGGAGCCTTAATTGCTCTTTCAGAGGACACATTTGACTCCCATTGCCCAGTGGCAGCTCACAACCAACCTTCTGTAATTCCAGTTCCCGGGAATCTAATTCCTTGCTTAATCTTTGTTGACTTCTGAAAGCACACAATGCACATACATACACTCAGATACACACAGGTTCATTTTAAATAAGGACACTTACAAGCTTTAATGCTAAGAATATTTACAGTCATCATTTAAGTGGATTTCCAGAATCCTCTGAAACACTGTTGACCTGTAATCAGGAGCGTTCTGGATTGTTTTTCTTTGCATTATCATAAATTATGCTACAACCTTTACCATGTGGCTCATAGAGTAGGAGAACTACCAGTAAGATGTTTGTTTTAGTCTCATTTATACATGAGACTCATAGTCATAACAAGTCTTCTCTATAAAGCATTTCATAACTGGCAGAGAAACATCTCAAGACAGTCTAGCAATAGATACACTTCAGTGCTACTTGGGAAACTTCAAGCTTGTTGTAATATTCCCAGGCCCTCAACTACACAAGTTCAAGTCTGTGTGCTAATAGACTTTGAAGCAGCTACACACAACGTTTAAAACCACAATGGGAAACAGCCCTGTCTGCTGGAGCGTATGTTGTCATTTTAAGGATGGTTAGGCAGGGTGAGGGTAGCATGAGGTGCTGGTGATGCAGAAGGAAGTATCCCAACTCTGATGCAGCCTTTTCGGCTGGTGTCTGGTGGAAGTGAGGGGCAATTTACCACAATTTTTCATAGTCCTTTGAAGCACCACAGACTTCTGTTTGTAAGTGGGCTCTTTTGATAACTTTTTTTTTTAACTTACTATAGGTGTAGAGTTATAGCCATTCAATAGTTAACCAACCATCCCTTCCTTTACTCCTCTGGGAATAATTGGATTGGATTGGATACCATTCAATCTGCCTTTAGAGTCGTACATGTAGGAACATGTCTAGATAATCTATGTGCCTATTGATTTCAGTACTATATGCAAACATGTAAGATACATTATATCCTATAATAAAAATCTTCCTTTCGTATAAACTATGTATCTCA